TGGGGAATGCTCACAGAAAATGGTCCATTCCGTCCCAATAAGGACGGCAAAACTCTCTATGAAAATATTTTTTCATGGAATAAGGTAAAGACAATTTTTATGTTCGAAATTCACAGTTTTTTTAACGGACAATAATGACCTAGTTTGCTAATATTCTGTACCTGGAAGCTCCGCACAATGTTGGTTATTCGTATTCGACGCAGCCGAATGATAATGCATATACCGATGACCAGGTTGGTGTTTATATTGTTACAGTAGACACAAGCGCCTTGGGCCCATCTTCGCCGCCATTTGAGTTACTTCACAAATTTTATTGTTACAAATGTGCAGGAATGTCATTATTAAATTCTGATTTTATGTGTTGAAGATGTATTTCGAACGTAGATTATTGAAACTGATCAGGACTTGTATCTTTTTATTAAGACTGGATCGTGAAATAAGTAACACGCATTCGGGGACCAGTTCTCGCATATCTTTGATGTGCGAGAACTGGTCCCCGAATGCGTGTTACTTATGTGTGCGTGTCTGTGTCTATCTATTTCTTCATCAACACTTCCTGTAATTGTGAGACACTTACTTAGGGTATAAACAGGAATAATTTACATCTTACAGTTTATCTTTGTGAAAAAAAATTTAAAAATCAAAGATACGCACAAAAATCTCCCACAAACTACCACATCGTTTTTTGAAATTAATGAATCTGCGTTTTTCCAGACTGCTGATGAAAATTACAATGCTTTGAAGGATTTCTTCAGCGTCTATCCTATGTACACACAAAATTCATTTTTTATCACTGGTGAATCTTATGGAGGAGTTTACATACCAACACTTACAAGAAGAGTTTTACGAGGGATTTCCGAGCAGGATCTGATGATCAATTTCAAGGTAAGTTTCGAATGAGTGTTATTTGGTGTTTTGATTAAAAAAATTTTGTATTTAGGGTATCGCAATAGGAAACGGTGAGCTGACAACTAAACACCAAGTAAATTCTGTAATCTTCCAACTCTACACGTATGGATTAGTTGGACAAACGTGGGTTTACACTTTTTTGATACTGTGAAGTGTCGGTACGGTATTTGCAGATAAGGGTAGATTTCAAAGCGATAAAGTTGTGCACTCAAAAATGTAATATAAATTATGCTTGAGCCATAGGATATTTCTTTAAATTCCAGCGAATACGACGCTCTAACTGCAAGATGTTGCCCTGGAGTTGTTGATACCACGAAATGTGACTTCTACACTCCTTACATCTATTTCGATTATCTGGGTAA